CCTTCACCAACCAACCCATAGGATAAACTAATCAATCAACCCTGCTTTATGCATTTTACCCCCCAAATAAAAGGCCATTGTAACTCGCTCTTGCTTTAATGTTTCATTACGATGCCAGAGCCCTATAATAGAGCCCAATAGGCAATGATGGTGAGGTGATAAAGTGCTTGCACTCACTGCAAGCAGCTTTCAGAAATCTTTTGTTCCTTGTGGGCTTCTCTCTCCTTCCTTCCTCTACCTTTCCCTTGTGGCATTGTCTCAGATTTACCAGTGAGCGGGTGCCTCTAGTTGAAATTGACCAAAGTCAAAAAAGTTTCCAGTTAAAGAAATGACATCTTGCAAATTCCTTATGGATGAGGAGGGAAAACAAGTGGCACCAGTTGGCTGGGTGAAAAAAATGAGGAAAGAAAAAAAAAAGTCAACGCAGTTCTTTAAGATGAGTGAGACTTCTGCTTCCTGCCCTCGTAATGCCAGCACTACTCACGCTTTGCATTAAAATTATATTGACCATCTGCTAATGTGGTTGAAGCGCCTCCTCTGTCAATCAGTGGGCTCCACTGGCAGCTCTCACTGCCTTGTGCTGCAAGTCACCAATGGGGACCAGCACAGCTCTGGTGACATCCCCGAGGCTGCACGGGTTTGCAAGAGCAGCTGCTCTGCACTGGGGTGTCTGTTCAAGCCATACCTCCCTGCTGCCTGCTGTTCTGTCACCATGCAGGTGAGAAGCAGCCCATCTGCAGAGCATAACAGTGACACGAGCACTCAAATGCCGCTGTGCACCTCTGTCTTGCCTATCGACATCTGACTTTATTGCCTAATAGCTGCAGGTGCTAAATAAAACACCAGGAACACTTTGCAAGACATAAGGAGATATTTCAGATAATGGAGAGACACACAGATATGCTTTGGATGTCTTGGCCCAAATACCTCCAGTTTTACATGAATTTAAAAAAAAAAAAGATAGCTAGGATAATGTGAGGGTCTGAAGTAGGAGGGATGCAGGGGACAGCTTCAAGACCTTTTAGGGCATGAAAAAGCCCCCCAAAGGAGCTCTGGATTCAGAAATTCTCCTAGGTAGAGGATACACTGGTCAGAGGCTTCACTGCCTGTGCAAATACTGGGCCAGGGGAGGTTCAGGTTAGACATTAGGAAGAACTTCTACATGGAAAGAGAGGTAAGGCATCGGAACAGGCTGCCCAGGGAAGTGGTGGAGTCACCATAGATGTAGATTATGTACTTGGGACATGGTTTAGTAGGCATGGTGTTGAAAGGGTTACATTTGGACATCTTTTCAAATCATAATGATTCCATTTCCAAAGGTCTTTTCCAACCATAATGATTCTATGATTCTATGAATTGTGGAGGTGTAGAAAAGCTGTTTACATAATTAAGGTGCTCTAGACTTTGACCTTCAGTTCTGACCTTCCAACCCCTCTAGATGAGCTCTGTGCCTCAGTTTCCCGCTGTGTAGAGTAGAACGCGGTAACATCTCCTATCCACCTGGCCTGAGTAAACAGTCTTGTTCACAGCAGGCCAAAAGACTTGGTATTAACAGCTATGTAACCTGGGCAGCAAGAAAATAAAGAGGGCTCTTCCCAATTTATGCTAAGCAGAAGCAGACTCCTAGCACATCATCTCTACTAGTCTTGGTAGAAAGTTTTCACTTGTGTTGCGCTCCCTGTGTCTGTAGTCTGCCCACTTTAATTTCTTCCTGCTGTTTTCCACTTGTTCCTCCCAGACTTCCTCCTCCCTTCTTTTTTTTTTTCCCGCAAACCATTACGAAATACATGATGACTCCAGGCCAAGGGAGATCAGGAGTCATCAGTTGCTTTGAAACATGTGCCAGGGCACCCATCTTGCAAGAGCAGATGCCTGTGCCACATGTGCGGGAGCCAGACCCTAAACCAAGACCCAATAGTCAGACTGATGTTCACATCCTCTGGCAAAAATGCTCCGTTGAAAAGACACGTCAGGGTAAATTCAGAAATGCTTATTATTTCCTCATGCAATGGTTTCCAGCAGTACAGAGCAATTCGAAAGTTTTTTTCTTTTTTTTCTTTCCTGATTTTTTTTAACACTAAAGTTTTACATGGAAAGTTAAGACGTGCACGATTAGCTTATCTGTCATCTTGGGAAATACAGATCAGGCAAATTGCCCTGATGGACATTTGAGGTGTCTTACCTGTCCTGATAGGTTTTGCAACACCCTCTGCAGCAGGATCAGTGGCCTGGAAGAGAAGTACAGGAATGGATGGGTTTTCTGGAGTTGGACAGATTGGTGATTAAGTAGGTTTAAAAGTAGATCCTAAAAATTTCCATCAGAGACTTATTCACAAGGAGCCATCACCAGCCACTGGGGATCATATGGCTCCTACAGAAATACATAGGTCTGAGGAGACTTGTAAGGGAGCATTCCAGTTATCACTTTCTTCAGACGTCCAAATTTCATCTATGTGCATCCCTTGTTACAGCTTGTGACACACAAAAAACAGTGCAAGGAGCTGTTTGTGTGGCCTAGGACGTTCCATTTTTTCCTGATCTAGGAATCTCTGTTTCTGACATGGCCATCCAGTGTCTCAGTGCTGTAGGAATTCGTGCAGCTTTTGCTGGGATCATCTTTGAAGCAAAAACCTCTAAACTCCTTGTTTTATGGCTTGTAAAACTTGGGAAGAATAGGGTAGAGTAACACTCCTCATACAGGATTGGTGGCCTTTGGGAACAACATCCACCTCTGGAAAGCCCGTGGGTAGCCAGAAATAGAAGCCGTAAAGCCCAGGACAGGTCCCAGAGCAGAGGTACATCCATCCTGCCTCACATCTCCTCTCTTCTTGCTGGGATGTAAACCCAAGGGTCAGGATGGCAGAGAAAGCTGTAGGAAGCATGCCTGACTGCGTAAATATGGTAGACAATCTGTGATGTTTCATCACACCAGTGATGTGGTATTCCACCACCCAAATGTCAAACCCTCAAGCATGTGCTTGTTTGACCATTATTTCCATACAGGTTAAATCACAGGTTAATGACAGCTCCCAGACACGCAGCAACACCCCAAGGACCAAATGAATTCTCCCAACGGGCTAGGAAAGAAACTGAGAGTGCCTCAGCACTAGAAACTGTGGGTCATGTCCCTTCACCACCGGGGCAGACCCACAGAAATGTTATTATCAGGGAGTTGTTTTGCTGCCTTTCAGGCTAGCCTAAACCAGCTCCTTGGATGTAGATATTGGTTTCCTGAGGTGATAGTACAGGCTGGTGTAGCCAAGCCCAGTTTAGCCTATTGAAGCACAAAATACTAAGGAAACAAGTCCTGACTTTCACAGGAAAACCAAAAACTCCTGAGAGCAAGGAGGAAGACCAAGTGTCCAGGGTGAGACAACACAGCTGGTGGTAGGAGAAATCAAAGGGTCTTATGACAGCATTATGGAAAAAGCACCTAATTTGGGGAAATAAATAGGATAATGTGTAGCACAGTCTATCTGGACAGGAAGAGAAGTTGTCTTGTGTCTCTCTCTGTGATACTTAAGTTTCTGGTCTTAAACGTGTAAAAGCAGTTTGTTTAGATTCTAACCTAACGTGATCATTTTTTTTTCAACTGCAAGCAAAGTGCAGACCTGCTTCTGCTCTCAGCAAAGCAGCGTTATTTCTTGGTTCTCATAGCGAAACACTATGGACAGAAGTGGACAGAATTTGCGCAGGTAGTGCTTGATTTGGGTATCTATAATGCCTGATTTTCTCTCCACAAACCTATGGAAGATGGAGGAGAAGCTATATAGATGACAGCTGTAGGAGAGCCAAGATGTTTCTCCAGGTCTTCCTTGGAGACAACATGCAGGGGAAGAATCTGATGCCTCGCAGCTTGCTTTGTAGTCAGGGCAACAGGACCGAAATTAAAATGTATTAATATAGTGTGTTCTCACCTGGGAAGTCTCCCTGTGGGTGAAAACACCAGATACTGCAGCAATTTAATTAGTGACGATTGACTAGGCATTGAAATAAAACTTTAGAGCTTGGTTTGAAATATTATGGGTATTGCTGTTTTCTAATAGTAGGGATATTCCGTAATGCTGTAATTCAAAATATAAAGAGGTACAGAGTAGAAGCTCAAAAAGATTAAATTCTACAGCACAAGCTCTGGAAAAAAAAAATCATTACAATGAATTTCACCCTGTCTGCAGTGACTTTGAGTGCTGGTAATGAAGGACTTCAGTCATTACTCAGCAAAGAGAATAACTTGAGTCTGCTCCCTTAATGAAAATGATAATGAGGTGCCTGTGAAAGCCATTTCTTGCTTCTTTTCCCAAGAAAGTTTTTACAAACCAAATCAGCCTGGACTCTCACCTGTTGTGTGGTCAAACCCTTCTTACTACATATATCTCACAATCTCCCTCTCATTAGAAGCAAATCTCTAAAGTTAGGCTGGTCCCAACTGCGGAGGGGTTGCACACATAGAGAGTGAGTGTTTCAGGGTGTTATTATGCTGGTGCTGGTGTATTCCCTGACAATTCGTTGGACTAGATGACCTCCAGAGGTCCCTTCCAACCTTAAGCGTTCTGTGGTTCTGTGATTCTATGAATTCCTGAGCAGTGATGGGTAAATGAGCTCAGAAAGATGCATTCCCCATCCAGAACTGCTACCTGTTTTTAGGGCTTTAATTCCTGGGCTGACGAGGGGCTCACTCACTCGGTTGTCTGGAAATGACTCCATGTCATTTCCATGTCTGGTTGTAGCTGGAGCCTGCAATTCCCAAGTGTCATATTTGGGATTTAGCCACTGTAAGTAGATGGTGTGGCTGGAGCCATTTATCCCAGAGGTGTCGGCACAAGTGATTTGGGTGCAGAAATTGCAATAAAACACAGGTAGCAACAACAAGGTGGGCAAGCAGTAACATGAAGCCAAGATTTTATGATGACACTCTGGCAAGTATCACCCCTGTAAAAGCACACAGACTTTTGTGGTTCCTCCCGTAGTGTTTAGCAGAAGGAATAGTGCAATTTTCTCCTAAAATGCCTCAGTGTTTTTTCCTGCACAACTAGGAAAGCAGCTTTTAGTGGGGATTTTCAGGTGTTGTGATTTTTTTGTTTTGTTTTTTACTCTCGCTGCTGTGGAGATTGCCCACCAGAGGGAGCCAATTAGCGTGGATTGTGGCAGCCTATGGCAGGGGTTTTTTTTTTTTTTTTTTTTTTTTTTTTTTACGCATACATACATCACAAGCGATTAGTTCAGGAACATGCCAGGTAGTGCAGGAATGACTCCCCATCCCTGCAGTCCCTGTTAGGGGTTTTAATTATCTGACTGTAGCACTCTTGGAAATTACTTCAGCAAGTATAAATACTCTACTGAAGGGGGATGAATATGATGTAATAGAAATAATGTTAGGTTTAGAGAAGAAATTTTGGAATCATATTCTTTTTTTTGTTCATTTTGTTTGGTCTTTCATGTTGGATGAATGCTCAGAGGACCTACATTTAGGTGGTGAGAACGCCTTTTCACATGGTGTGATTTTCCCTTTCTTCCCTCAGATAAGTATAAATTCATCAAAAGGAAGGAGACTGAGCAGCCAATTACGATGTTCCCACAGTGAGGCATGGTGACTCTAGGATGTGTAGCCACCAGAAACCTCCACTTCGTACAGTGGTACCTAAGACATGCCTCAAGGACCATGTTGCCCTGACACTCCCTAGCCCTCCTCTGACTGCAGGAACATGGAAGTTTCTATCTGAGTTCAGCACAGGAAGAGGATGAAGTGGCCGTCTTTGTTCAAAGGCCACCCATGTCCTTTAGCTGACAACATCCTGGGGGGAAAATCAGGCCAATTGCTTGAAACGTTTGTCCTCTCTTGAGAAGATACAAATAAAATAATTAAGCCAATTAATGACATTTTGCTTCCTACAGGAGCAGTCCCTGCAGGACTTAATAGCCATGGACACTGAGGTATGACAGCTCCCCAGACCTCCTGCCTTGGCGCCTGCTGAAGTCAATACCAAAAGATGCTCAGCCCAGGCCACAACTTATATCACCAAAACAGTTCCTGCCCAGCCCGGTGCTGACACTGTGATCATAAGACAAGTGGTTTTTGTTGTTGTTTGTTTGTTTTTGTTTTGAGCAAGTTGTGTCATTCCTTGAGGTACCCCTTTTACAGAATCAGCATTTGTTCCTGGTCTGGAAATTCAAGACCGGTCATGGATGGGAAATGGCTATGCTGCCTCTAGACTGAGGGCCTTTTAGCTGAGATCAAGAACAATTTACATTTTTACTGCCAAATACTGCTTGCAGTGTGAACTTGCTGCTCAATTTCTTGTTTCTCACACACCTCAGCTTCCCGCTTTCTCCTTCAGCCAAAGCAGCAGCAATAAAGTCATTATTATTTTAAAAGAAAACCCTGACTCTCTCAGTAATATAATTCCTTTAGCACTAGTGTATATGTATTTATCCTGATAGAGAGCTAGTTTAATGCTTACTTTCATAATAAGTACAAATGAAAGGCACATTAGATAGGATAGCTGTGGCAATTCTGTAATTACCTAGAGTGTTATTTTAAAGACCTCCCTTAATGTCCCACTACTTATCATTTGAAAATACCTATGTGTGATTCTAACCATGCCAAAGTGTTTCTTTTTTGGAAGAACAATGATTTCAAGTAAACGACTCTTCACTGATAAAGCTTAAAAAAGTCACTCAAGCCTTAATGGTTCAGTTTCTGAGTAATATGCATATATAGATACATAAATGTGCACAAAATCAATTTAATAAGAGGAAATGCTGTGCTAACAGTCATATATTGTTTTCCATGGCAAACTTCCTTCAGTAGCCCAGAGCTGGTGCTTTCCTTCTACGAATAACAGCAGAGGTTACTTCAGCACTTGGATTTCTAAAAGTTCACAAAACTTCTAATGTGGCATTTTATCCCAGTGAAGTTTGTGGCAAACTTCAGAAATGCTCCGTTTATACCCACAGTCACTCGCACCAGAGGGAAGTGCTGCCTCTGTCCTAGCTGGAGCCGGCTGCTGGTTCCCCATTCGCTCCTCAACCCACTTTGGAGAGGTCCTCTTTATTTTAAAAAGGTAGAAACACTCATAGGGAAAGGTAGACTTCGTTTGTCAGAATTTGCCTCAACTTATGCCCTTCTGCTGCCATTGCTACCTCTCTTCTTTTGCATTAGGATCTCACCTGGGAATGACAAGAGAGAGGGGCACAGTGGACTGCCTGTTTCCCATCCACTGCTCCGAGTGCAGGAGGGCTCTGCTTCCTCACATCCCGCTGCTTCATCTATCCATTCAACTCATCCCCATCTCTTTGCTCCTCGACCAGCCAAGACCTCACTGGCAGAAACTGATGGCTTTTAGTGTTTACTGCAATTGTTGTCTGCATCCTTGTTTTTTTTGTTTTGGTGATTTTGGCCTTAGGCTTCCAGCAATGCCACATGCCATTTCACATCTAGAGATGCCATGTCTGCCACCCAAGTAATTAGTAGCAGAAGAACAGAAGAGAAGAACAACTGTAGACACTGTCAGACCAGACCATCTCATACACCAGAGAAGCCACAGGAAACCCTTCAGGAAAGCAGTTGGTGAGGGAGTGATCTCTCTACACCTCTCCTCCTAAGCAGGCTGAACAGAGGATGGCTTGAATTTTGGATTATGGGCTCTCCACTTCCGTTGATATAGAAGTAACTGTGTGCTAGAAATTAATGCAGCCCATAGAGAAATCACTTATTTTCTTACAAGTTCTTTTCTCTGCCTCTCTGTTTTGTCCCTCTCACCACTAACACATGTATGTGCACTTATAACAGGTAGCATTGACTGATTTTCCAGCACAGGATGATTTTTGGAAAGTGGGAATTTAAAAAAAGAAAAAAAAAAAAGAGAGAGAGAGAGACTGAAAGCCAAGAGTAAAGTTAGAAATTGCTTACCGTCCTCTGAATGACTAAGACCATGATGGTGGCTAATGCAAAGACGAGTAAAGCAACAAGGGTAGCAATGATGAAATACAAACACATTTTGTTAGTGGCTCCGAGCCTCCTTGGAATGGTGTCTTCGGTCACATGCATGGCTGATTCATGAGAGTCCTTCACCTGAAAAAGAGTCTGCTCTTGTGCTGAGCCCATTCTTATATAGCTCTCAGGGTACTGCTCTGTATCTCCCCTTGATCAGATTCAACTTGCAGCCCATCTCTGTTCCTTGCAGGATTTTCCCCCTTCATCCTGGCTCATGTGATCTGGAAAAAAAACTTCATCATTTGTGGTACAAAGAAAGAGGGACCTGGGGGCGTGAAGCAGGACGCAGCTGTGAAGAGGGGAAGGAGCTTCATGTTCTTGATCAGGGATTTTGCGACGGCAGTCTTGTATGCAGCATTGGAGGTTTCTGATGTCAGAAGGTGAACAGTTACCCAGCTCAGTCCCCCCGCCCTGCCACGGGCTTTCTGTGAAATGGAGTGCTATGCAAATTCTGTTTCACTTTATACTCAGCGCACTTGCAGTTCAGTACAGTAAATCACCCATGAATACTGCCTTCCTGTTATACAGAGTAATCTCTTCTTATTCTTAGTATTATCCTAGTGCTGCAATCTCCAGAGGTTTGGGTTCAGATATGACATATGCTTTGGGTTTGGCGACTGTTGCTCCTACCTGCAAAGATCTGAAGATGGTTGAGGAGTTCTCAGTGAAGCATTTCATAGAACTGTGTCAGGATGGTGCCTTAGATGCAGGATGAGAGTTCAGGGAAAACCATAGAAAGAAATCAGTCACATCAAAATAGCTGAAGGTAGGATGTGCCCACAGAGCAGGGTGTCTGTATTTACTGTTGTGTCCTAATTATTTGCAGTTCATAAATTAATCCTGGTTTCTATTTTACCCATGACACTCTCAGATGCTCTAGACTCGGGCAAGCTCCCAGACATGGGGGATTGCCTCAGAACCTGAATGAGATTTCTTTGATTGGAAAAAATTCTCTTCCATTTCAATGTGACTTGAACAGTAAGTACAAACCCAGCATTTTTTTTATACAAGATGACTCCTTGCTTCTAAAGGGTCTTCAGTGTTTTTGAAAATGCTTGCTTTTAGGTACATGTCTTCTTCTGATTCATCTCTGTGCAAGCCACTTAACTCATGGAACATGATCAAAGTGGCTAGACGCATTGGTTGCTCACAGTTCAGTTATGAAAGGACATAAGAATGGCCAAACAAGGTCTTACTAAAGGTCTATTTACATCAATATTTTGCCTTCAACACTGAGAGATGCCGTAGGAAGACTTAATCAGAACAGGAAAAGCAGATAAATTCATTTCTTGAATGAACCACACTACAAAAGCCTTTATAGATTTCCAAAATTATATCATTCAGAGAAAAAGCATCCCTCTATCATAATGGAAACAGGCACAATCCATTTTAATCAGGGAAAAGGGGAAGCATCCTTCTCTCTGTATAGATGAGATGATTGTATAACACCCTTGCTTAAGGTTTTTCAATAAATCTGCCACTCAAGAGTGGATGATGTAATTTTTCACCCACAGAGGCCTGTCTGTTGGGTACAGAACTTCTGTGCAGGTTCTAGCAGATGTGGCTCTTACTTGTCCTGGTTTGCACTGCAAATTAATCTTGAGCTGCAAGGGAAAGGTTTACACACTTTTGCTGGCAAAGGCATATTAGAAGCCTTAAGGCAGTCAGTCCCATACAGCAGCAAACCCACACTTTTGGAAGCACATCCTGCACCTCCCCAGTACAGTCATTGCTCCCCAGCCCTCTCTGACCGTGTGGCAGCTCTGAAAAGCAGGAGAGAGAATCCAAGCTAAAAAGATCTTAAAGTGACCCACTAGCTTCTCCTATACATGAAAAGACAGTTGAGCTGGTATAGCTGACAGCTGACAGTTCAGCTTGCAGGTATACACCTCAGCAAGGATCCTGCCTTACTAAAGAGGAATAGCGACAGAGTAGTTTTAAGGCAGTTTTCTGATTGTGAAGCTGGACTTATTTCCAGTGGGCTGGGACAAACTGTGTGTTGAATCAGGATTTATGTCACCTTGTCCTCTGCAGCACCAAGAGGATGCTGCTTTCTGGGGGCTCGTGGGCTTCTGTAACTGCACAGCAATTTGCCCAGTTAGCGCTCTAAAATCCAATGTGTTTGAGCTAAATGCCCTTATCAGTAGGAAGCCAAATACTATGCTGGTGAAGTCTGTTAAATAAAGAGGAATTAAGGAAGACAAGTGAGGAAAAAAAGGGACAAATCCAGCCCCCATGTGAAGAGGTGCAAGTTAGATTAAATATGGCCTATTACTTTCTAAGCTAAAATCAGACAGTAAACTTGCACTTGTAAAACTGCAATGTTTGGAGTGATCTCTTCTGTTTACAGGTGTGGTTCAAAAGCAGAATCTCTCTGGCAATTGTCAAAGCCCATCACAGCCCTGAGCCAGCAATGCTGAAATCTTTTGGTAAGATTGCATAACATATTAATGTACGGGAGCACAGAGCATCCAGTCCTGCAATAATACTATGCAACAGAGAATTCAAAAATAGCGAAGGTAAGTGCCTGATGTAAGAGCAGGATTAATGAACAATTCTCCTTTTGTGTTGGGGGAAATAGCTTGAAATGTTGCTAAGGGAAGCATTCTGTTAGGCCAATAGTAGTTTTTAAGGGAGGAACATTGCAGGATAGATGAATGCTTCTATAATTTTTTCTTAGGCAGTAAATAAACCATCTCCCATTCTCATTAGATAGACGAGCTCCAAGTGTTGTAACCTGCCTCTCCTGGCTTGTAGATGGCGAGGCACTTTCAGAGATAGTTTTAGTGCAATGCTCCATTGCCCTGTACGTCCTGCTAATGTCCTCTGCAAACTCTGTCCTGCTCTCTGCCCGGTTACGCGGGTCTCATTTCCAGGGCACAGCTCACATGCCTGCTGACCATTCTCCCTGCTCTGGTTCAAGATGCTGAACAGCAGCTGTTTGCCCTGTATTTGTACTGGCTCTTTAATATGAAGCTCATGCTGTGGCCTTGGCAGCAATGATCTTTGCATAAAAGGACAAAGAGGGAGAAAACAAGTGAACCACAAAACCAGAAGTTCTAATTATTTCTTGGTAGAGTTTACAAGTGACTCTGTTTAGCAGAAAAATACAAAGTATCCCAGCCCCTTCTTAATACTTGTTTAACTACTTTTCAGCAGAAAGAAACCAAACTTGCTGAGAACTGAAAACCTATCCATGTAGTCAATGGAAATTTACCCTCTTTTGAAATCTGTGAGAACTGAAAATCTTCCTGAGAGACACTACTGGCCAGTTCTTCAGAGCTATTTAGGAACCAACTGCTGCTGAAATCGCAGGGCACTGAGGGCATAGGTACTTTTAGGACTCTCTGTTTCATCTTGCACTTGAATTGGGTTCATCTCTCATCAGAATCATCATTTGTGTTTATACATGTAGTTCGCTGCTTGAATCTGGTCCTTAGATTTTAAAGATCTACCCTAGCTCAGAGAAAATGCACCATGATGTATCTTTGATTACCTAAACAGATTCCTAGGATAGCTGTGATGGTAATTGTCTTACACAGCAAAAATAATGCTATTAGGCTCTTATTGTCAAAGAGAGAGCCCTGCTGTTTCCTCTTCCCTTAAAGACAGTGCCATTTTAACTGAAGTGTTCGTGGGTGCCCCCCACACATATATGTACATGCATTAACACACACAAATATGTTCAGGCACCTGCAAATCACTTAAAATGGAAATGCAAAATCAGTCAACTGAGGTTACAGTAAAATGCCATTAGTACTCGAGATATGAATCACAGGTTCCTAAGCTTTTTGCAATGACTCACTCCCTTGCATTGTGCTTTGGCATGTGGTTGTTCCCCATGTCTCAGCCTGGGCGGAGGGACATGGGTGCTTGTGCCCAGATCTTGTTGCTTAGCACAGACTGCAGCCTCACTCCTGAAAACTGCTGCAATGTTTGATCCTATGGGAGGAACAGGTGAATCCTCACTTGGGAATTAGAAGAGGTTTAGCTCACCTTTTTTTTTTTTTTTGATTTCTTGAAGACCAATCCCTATATTGTCCATCAGAGGAGGAGATGGAGCTGGGCAATTTCTGAGCTAGAAGTATTCTTACATTAATTGGAAGCATGGAGAACCTCCCACTTCTGCAGGCATAAAGCACCACAGATAGGTTTTTCAAAAACGTAGTGTAGCCTAATTCCTATTGAAAGTCAGGAATTTAGCCTTGAACAAAGTTAAAGAAAAGAAAAAGAAAAACAGGCAGTTGTTAGAACCTGGGCCTATTGCGCTCCCGATCCAAGCTTGGTCACAGAACAAAGCAAATGGCACTCCAGGATCCTATCCTTAAAACATCTTTGTGAGGATATTTTTGGCCACTGTGATAAAACAGGCTTTTGAGGGAGATGCTGTGTATCTGTCGTCCAAGCCTTCTGCTGTCATAATGTACTGGAAGGCATCCAAGAATAGAAATGTTCTTTTGCCATTTTGTTTCTCAAATAAAATAACCAAATAAAAATAGACATCAAACAGGAACAATATAAGAGAAAAAGAGAAAGGCTAGCGTTACCAATGTGAAGTATTATCTCCCTGGGAAGCCACAGAGTGTTTATTCCTGCTATGAAACCGTCTTCTTTATTCAAATGAATTATTTCAGTCTTGTAAGGCAATAGAAAAGCATGTACGTCAAATTAACTGAACATTGGCTCTAGGGGAAAAACACCCTTTTATATTGTACGTGAATCGTTCCATACATCCATCTTTCCTGAAGTGCAGGTGGAAACCAGAGGCATTTAGATAGACAATAAAATGCAATTATAAAGTGATACAAATGGAGCAGTTATAAAAGCGTAATAACTTCCACAGATTTGTCAGAAAGGGCCTTCCCTCATCAGGAGTTACTGCCTGCCTAACCAGTAATTGTTTTTCCCTTCTAATCTCCACTCTGCCAAGGAGAAATATCTACCTTGCTGGAAGATCTTCGGTATCTTTTACCAGCACTTGCTCATAATATTCAATTAAAATGAAAACGTTCTTTTCTGAGCATTAGAACTATTTGTATTCTCATTAATGACTCAGGAGTGGGATGAAGAGGATAATGCAGGAAGCTGGAAGAAATGATATGTTTACAATT